AGTTTAGTCCTAATTAAATTGCATACGTTGCCATAAACACCCCCACACACGCACACACACATGAGCAGCAGCTTATTTATAAGCAGCGAACAGCACAGCCACGCCCCTTTTGCGCAGGTCCTTGAGGCTTGCTTTTTTGTGGCTTAAAATTCCATGGCATGCACACAGAAACTTCCTTTTTGGCCAAATGCAAAACTTTTTTTGTGCCTTGCGCTGTCTTTTGTGTATATGTGTGTGTGTGTGTGTTGGCTTATTTATATTTTGTGTTGTACTGTGCCGTTTGTTTTTAACGCTACAAGAGTTTTAAATATTTAATGAGCGCATCTCTGTCCCTCACTTTGTACTACTCGCTCTCTCGCTCCATCTCTGTCACTATCTCTGTCTCTATCTCTGTCTCTGTTTATTAGAGAGTTGTTTATGCGTGCGTTGAAGGCTATTGCAGTTTTGCTTTTTATTTTGGCTGTCGCATTTGGCATTTATTCTCAGGCAGTTGCCGCTTTAGCTGCTGTCCTCTGGGTGAACCGTAGCTCAGTTCGTGTGAATTGCATAAACAAGTTGTGCAGAGTGCTTGCATGAAGAGCAGCTTTTAAAAGAAAATTTTTTAACACCAGCTGACAGTTGTCAAATAGGAATTTTATATAAAAAACTTTATAATATATCAAATTTACATATACATACTATATATAATATATATATATAGTTGATTTCCTTCAACATTTGATAAATTATTTTCAAAGCAATTTTCTAGCTTTTAACTTCGAAGAATTCTTATTTAAGCAAGTTGTCTAGATGTGCGTATACTACTTCATTATGTGAGTAGAGTATATAGGTTATGTGATGTGTTTGCTTAGCTGTTTCGCAGCTTTTAAAGTCAGCGACTCACACTTTCATATATGTACTTAAGATTTCTTTGCCAAAGTGTTAAGCTTATAAATCAATAAAAAAATCAGTTTCCTATTAGTACTCTAGAACTTTTATTGTTATAGCAGGTCTTTAAGTATTTGAACTGAATAAATAAATTGAATATCTTCAAAATATATATACATAAATGAGTTGAACAAACAATGCTTAATGGCTAAAAATTGTGTATTTAATATATTAAATGATTTATATAATTTTCAAAAATATATAATATTCAAAATATATAAAATTAAATTGTTAAAAAAAATAAAAGAAAATAAAAATATATATTTTTTTATTTTTATTTGATTTTGAAATATTTATATTTAGGCAAATCAGGCTCCGCACAAACTTTGTGTACGTGTTCCATAGCTTTGGCCTAGTTCTAGGTTTAGCTGCAACATCTACGTTTAGCTTAGATACCTTAAGGATCTTTGACTTAGTCCACTTTTGAGCTAAGCATTGGTTAAATAAATAAGCAACTGCAACTGACTCGAGTTTACTATGTAATTATACCTTGTAAATCTGTGATTTATAAAAAGATATTTAATACAATTTAGCAAAGTGTTTAGCTTGTGCTTAAGGTGTTTCTAATGGTGAGGTCTCAAGCTGCATTTGCCATGCTCAAGCACACACAATGCTGCCACGCCCAGCTGCACACACTCACACACATGCATACTTATAGTTCACCCGCTGTCATAGCAAAGAAAATCGTATTATTCAACATTATTGCTCTTGACCCAACCGACCCGTAGTCGCAGCCATCTACCATATATCCAAAACAAATGACTTTGTTTGCTCTGCCCGGCATTCGCTGAGCCGTGCCCCCAGTACCTACGCCGTACAGCGCACACTCCGCCACTTGAGAAGTCAAGTGGTAGCCGTAACAGTGAGGAGCAACTGCTGCTGCTGGTGCTGCTGCCGCTGCTGTTGCTGCCAACGCATTGGGGACTTTGAGGCTGGCAGCTGGCTAAGGACTGAGACTGAGGCTGAGGCTGAAAACTGAGATTGTGACTATGTCGGTCACAGAGCGCTCAACTTTTGCTTGTATAAGAAAATGCTCATGAATGAATGAAATTGCTGCACAATTTAAAAACTTCCGCATCAGGCGGCAACAACAATAACCACAGCAACAACCATAGCAACAACAACAGCAACAACGTCTACAGTGACATCGAAAATAATGCGCCCCCATCTGTCGTCAGAGTAGAGCTGCGATGCGCAGGTTGTCTTTCCTTTTATTTGCTATATATATATATATATATATTTTTTTTTTTATTTATACCTATTTTAGTTTTTCGTATCTTCTCATATATTTTTTTTCAGTTTTCTTTTACTGCTGCATTTTGGCGTAGTTTTCTGTTGGATCGAAGCAAAATGCTTTGCGGATGTATTTAGTATAAGCTTTATTTATATTGACAGGCACGGAAATTTTTGGTATTTCGCTAGACAGTCGATGGTTGGATAAACAAAAAAAAAGTTTAAATTATTTTAAGCTGTCATGGAAGTCTCAAAGATATTAAAGCAATTTAGTGTGTGTAAGTGCAAGACGACTGTTGGTCTCTTAGAAATAAATATGTGTGTGTTTATTTAGAAACAGGCAGTTGTTGAAAAAGCAACAGATACTTAAGTGAATCCTTTTTAAAACAGAGCTTATTTTAATATAATATTATTCTAAGGAAGCTCCAGCAGACTGAAGAATATCTAAATTTGAATTAAATGTATTTACATATATATTTATTTCTATACCTTTATGGACTTAACATTAGATTTATGGTAACAGATTTGTTGAATAACACCAAATTTAATGACCTTAATAAAATGGGGAGTAAAATGTTATATATAACAAGTAAGAGTGCTCTAGTAAAGACTGCTCGACTAGGAGATACCTTAAACCTTGCTGCACTGCTGCAATTTTACTTACTACTCCACGATTCTAAATAAATTTTTTTCTTGATGGACTTTCTGAATGAAATTCTGAGAGCTCGCTAAAGACATGCATATAGTAGAAATATTGCCTACACAACCTACGATCTTTTTTTGAAAGCAGCTGTTGAGCTCAACATTTAGCATATGCTGAATACTTGTAGTTGTACTTCAACCCTTCAGTAGTTCTATATATAATATATATATAGATAAATTGTGATAGTATTATATTAAATATGATACCTAAGCACTAACCTCTGGTCATCAAGAAGTACTCTTTCTAGACGACTGATATTTCAACTTGTCAGAGCCATCGATGCTTAGACTTCTAAACTTCTTCTATTCAAATTATGTTTCTATTGTGCATGTTATGTTAGTAATTCTTAATTATATTTTCTACGTATTTAAAAGTAAATTCTCTACATAATTGTAATTATATTCCATAATAACAACTGATAAGAAATTGCATTATATTTTATGCAACGTCAAATAGTTTATTCGCTATTCAAATCGCTTGCCTTGGCAACTTTTATTTAACAACAGCTTGCAGATTGCAGTTTGCATCTGTTCTTTTTTACGCATTTTCCCATTTAGTTGTCGCACACAGAGTCCTGTGATGTGGCATGAAGTTCAGCAATCCACGCACACTGCACTTTGAACAAAGTGCACGAAGGCAAACTTCAAAGTGTGCGTTTTTAGTCGCATTTGCACTGTTCAAAAATTAATGTGCTGAAAGAGAAAGAAAAGAGCGAGATGAGTGCCTGCATAAATGATGCCCAAAGGACACTCTTGCGCCTTAGTTACCCCAAGAAGTGGAGAAGAAAATGTGCAGCGTGTGCAAAAAAATAGTTAAAGGTAGCCCAAGGCGAACAAATGAGCGAAGCGTGAAACGAAAAACGCAAAAGTGAAAAAAGGGAGCAAGAAATATGCAAGTGTTGCGCTTACCCTGTGGAATCATTTATCAAGGATTACATAGCATAGAAATAATGTTTACGGTAATAGATTAATGATAATGACAAGACACTAAGCGTTTTAGACATTATCTAAATGCTCTGCTAGGTGTGGCAAGAGGGCAGGCTATGTGGAAGTCTGGCGAAAATAGGGCTTAGTGTTGTTTGGAGATTAATGATTATATTAAATTGAAAATGAAAAATAATAATTATTATTCTAAAATATCATTTTTTAGAGTGTGGCATGAAATTAAAATCATTTAAAACTTATGTTTATGACTTAGTATGAAAATTTTATATATTTTAGGGAGAGAGCGAACGGGTTAGGAGATAACTTAATGCTAGATAATAATTCAATAAGAATAATATGACAAAAGTGTAGCTCGAAAAGCAGTAAAAGCTTAAAATGTTAATTTTAAGCTAAAATAAATTTTTACTTAAATTAATTTTACTTGAATTAGCTACTTTACTCATGTAAATTACTTAGGTTATGTTAACACCTCGAGTCATGGCATATTTTTGTAAAGAATTTTGTGTTTATTCTTAAATTTTGCTTCATAATAACTTGAAGTGCTGCTGCTGGATAAGTGGTAAATTTTAGTAAATATGCAGTTAGTAATTTAATTTTAGATCGCCCTGAAGGGTCGGTCTACAGGGTGCAATCGTTTTAGTCTCCTGCATATTGTGTTGGTAGCAAAGTCATTTTTGGTGGCATTCTGGTCTGCTTAGGTGCCTAGTGTGAGATTTCTTCAAGGATACGAAGTTTTTTTTATTATTAAACAAGAATATTAAAGTTCCTTTTATTTCAAAGATGAAATGGGAGTCTTAAGTAAGCAACTTGGTTAACACAGGTCGAAAGAAAAGATACTAAAGGCGGTGTCGTATTAAAGAGGATTCTTAAAAAGTAAAAGAAATGTTTCTTTAGTGTCGATGGCTCGTCTGTCTAAGTAAGGCTGGTCTGTCCACTATATAATACACTTAGACAATTCAACATATTCGACTTAAAACTGTGCAAGATTACACAAGAAAATATGTTAAAATAAATGCTAATCGGCATAGCACCAAGGAGACTAAAGTCTGAATTAACTTGACTAAGAAAAGACATGCTCTGCTAGGTATTAAATATTTTGTGAATGATTGCTGATAGACTATAAAAATAAAATTTACTTCTGGCAAACCATTAAATCTAATTTGATTTATTCATTCTCTCTTTTTATTTTTTAGCTACTTGCAAACCAATTCAGGTGAGTTGATGGAATATTTGAACTGTGATTGTAATAAGAGCTCTGTTCGTGGAAATCGCAAATCTGTTCAAAGTGGTGTATTTAATTGTCTCAAATTTTGCGTTAAACTCAAAAGGCCCGTAGCTATGCGACTAGGCACTAATTAGGAATTAGGCAGCGCATTATTTGATTTTCATTTGAAACTTCAAAGACAATGCCGTGCGGGCCCAGAAACATAAAACAGGACGGAGTTTGTGAGGGCTTAGACGACTTGCAAATATTCTGTTGTTTATATACAAATTAGAGTTAATTAAATTTTAATCTAAAGGAATTTACATTTAATGAGAAAGGAAGATACGCACCCAAAATCTTGGAAATATTTTTATTCGAATGCCATTGAGCAACTATAAATAAATTTCTTCAATTATTTAGACTTTTTTTAAATTGTTTCAAAATATTCAAATTTTACAATATATATATGAACGAATATTGAAAGAATTTTTGAGTGCACATAAAATAGGAAATCATACAATTTCTACACACAGACAACTGGATCTCATTGTGTGAACTGATCTGAAATATATAAATGTAAAAGATTTCTAAATTGAAAATGCGTTCTTCACTCCTTAACAAATATACTTATTTATTTTTTTTATTTATTTGACATAAAAACCTCCCCATTTTCACTGAATATAGGGTATAAGAAAAAAGTAAATGACTCATTTAGTGCTGACAATGCGAGCCGCTTTGATTTATGTGAAAGGCGCAGATTGGCTGCGAGGGTATCAGGCGGCTGCATGGCGACGTGCGTAACTCTGCATGCAAAAACTTCAAGCGCCGACAGTTTGACAGGCAGCATGTGGTAAAGTCCTCCCGCTTCTGCTAGTCTTACGCCTGCTGCACCTCCACACACTATGCAAATAAAGCAATGCCGCAAAAGGCAAGTCAAGTTGTTCATAACTAACAGCACACAAACACACACTCATACATGTGTATACAGTAAATAGTATATACTATGTATTTTGTTAGTATTTGGGCACATAATTAGTTTATGTGTTTGTACAAGTTTGGCTAGCGTGCCGTTGGGCCAAATCTCATCTGGTGCCGCATTTGGTTGACGACCTCGTTAATCAATGTCTCGCGGGCGTTGGATCGCTTGCACTTTATGACCATTCATTTTGTTTAGAGCTCCGTTCAAATTGTCATTTTGATTAACCTTAATTAGCGGTACGTTGACATTCGTCCGCAAATGAGTGCCACATGTAGCAGCAACCAGCAACCAGCAACTGGCCAACAGCCTGGTTTCGCTTTGCTCCCCGCTACCACAACCTTGCCCCACACACTCACTTCCATGTCGCTTAAATGAGAGTGACATTTTCTGGCACACGTTTTCTTCGACAGCAGGCAGAGCTGGCTATGCCTCCGTTTCTGCATCTGATGTTTATTGCCAGCAGCAACCAGCATTGTTTCACACCTCTCTTTCACTCTCACTCTCTCTTTCTCTCTCTCTGAATTGCAACTGCAACTGCAACCGACTGCTGATGGGTGTCGATTGCAAATGAGTTTCTGCGCAGAACGTGCGAATGGCAAGTGCTTTTAGCCTTTTTTGTTAGCTTTAGACGACTTTCTAATACGCTGCAGAGCTATAGCAATTTAAATTAATTTTTAAAAATAAAAAAAAATATAAAATGATAAGAATATATATATTATATATATCTATATAAACAAATATATAAGTGAAATGATTATGATATTATGTAAATATAAATTAATTTTAAGGATAACCTTTTTTTTTTATTTTTCATTAAGATCAAAAACACATTTTTCTAAATTTATTTTTCATATTTTGTAATAGTACATGTTCAAAATTATTTATAAATATAAAATTAGAGTTCTTTTAATTTAAATTTATTTTTTTAAATATTCAAAATTAATACTTAATAGTTTTTAAATTATTTACATATTTGAAATATTTTTTTAACTTTCTTATTATTAGACTTTTTTATTTTCTTGGTACAAATTAAAAATAACTTTTGTTTCTTTTCATTTAAATGTATTGCATATATGTATGTAAACTTTGTATTTAATATTTTTTTAATTATATATATTTTATAATTTTTAAAAATAATTTCTGTATTTTCATAAATTTGTGTAAGAATTACAATATTTTTAAAGAAATGTTTGTAATTTAATATATGGATACACATAGTTATTTTATCAATTTAATACTTTTAGATAGACAATATTTGTTATTAAATAGACTTTAAACATAGCTATTAATAATACTCAAAACTTTGCACTTCGTGTAGAGTTTTAGTTTGTCGACTTTGCCCCACTTGTGCGTAGTGTTTGCTGAGCAAACAGTTGCTTGAGCTGAAACACTTTGGCATGCAAAACCAATTGCTGTTTAGTGCAAGTATCGAATGCACCTTCTCTATAGGCTGTCCAGTTACTCTGTCTGTTTCATATACATTCTCTCTTTCGCACTCTCTTTCGGTATGTTCACATTAATTATGCTAGATGTGAGCTGAGCGTCAGCTTTATGACTATTTATGTTATTATTTGCTGTGCTCTATTTACTTGCCAATGACAGTGACTGCGAAAAGTGTGTCGACCTCTAGTTACCGATGCTGCTGCTGCCCACATGAGTTCGCCAAACTAGTTCGCATTGCTCGCTGCGGATTCACTTGACTTTGATCTCAATAAGTGCTAATTACTCGGGTTTCGATTTTGTCAGTCAGGCCCCTCCAGGCCCCAGGTCGACGGTAGCGTTCGAGCCAATGGCCCGAGGAGTTAGTTGTGCAAAACTTTCACGTAGCTCATTTGTCAATGCAAAAATATATTTTTCTTGTTTTTGTTTGTTGTCATCATGCATTTGTTGTTGTTTTTGGGACAGGCAGCAGGCTTGTCACGTTTTCAGTTTGTTTTGTTTTATTTGCTTTCATCGGCTTCCTACACGAGGGAGAGTTCTGGGTTCCAGCTTTTTGGTCTTTGTGTTAACTTTTCTTTTTTTTTCCGCTTTTTTTGCGAGCATTACGTTTTGTTTGCCAAGCCAGTTAGTCAAGCAGTCAGTCAGTCATTCAGTCATCCAGCCAGCCAGCCAGCTTGAGGCCTGTCAATAAAGTTCTTGACACCTTTACTTCATTTGCTCAGATTTCTCTCGACATGACTTTAGCATTGCTTTCTGTTCGAGGGTTTTCCTTTTATTTCACTTAACAAACACTATGCAAATTTCTCTACCATGTACCTTTTCTTGGGATACCCTTGCGGCGAGTATTCTAATTCTCGCATGAATTGTGTAACGCATCGCTGGCTACAGAAACTAAATTTATTCTTTATGTACCATATAGCTGTCATGCAAACAAAGTAAAGGAAATAAGGTTTTTGTTTTATTACTCTAACGCTCCACAGCAATTGTCTTCGAGGTGTTAGTTCTAGCTTCTTCTTGTGTTTAAAATATGTGTTCTTAAAGTTTTTATACTCTTGCTTAAATGTGTGAAATGATGAGAGCCAAATTTATTGTATGTTATATATAATATTTTATATTATTATATAATTATTATTATAATTATTATATAATTATTATATAATATTTTATATTATTAATATTATTATAATAAAATATTTGAAAATTTCTATTAGTTTTTAAGAGTTTGTTTGCTTCTAACTTAATTAACATTTCTAGAGTATTCGAAGTTCGTTTTTGTTTTCCTTTAATTTGTACTGCAGCTTTTTATGTTAAGTATACGTCACGCTGGCAGTGTCCGAAATTAAGAGCTGATGGTGGGCGTGTACCCGGTAGACGCCCACATTTTTGCATAATGTCCATTCATTTCAAGTAGCAGCAGAAATCTTTAAGATCTACGCCCAAAAAAAGGAAATTATTATTAAGGTGCGTGATAATTATGTTTCGTGATGTTGTTCTTTTCTTTTTTTACAACATTACTTACTTAACAATATGTATATATATATATATATATATATATATATATTTATATGTGTGAGTGTTGCCTGAGTTATTATTATAAAGATAATGGCCCAAGAGACGCCAAGGTGCTGTCATAACCTTGAAAGATCAAGAGTTCAAGCGGCCACGAGTAGGAAGCAACCAAAAAGCCAACAAACCAAGCCAACTACCAATAATACAGAAAACAAAAAAAGCACAGCCAAAAGCAATTAACCGTATATAACTAGAGAATCCAACGAATACAAAAAGCAGCAAAAAAGAGTTGAATAAATGGGCAGGTTGGAACGTTGGAACGCTGGAGATGGCACTGGCCAAGTTTTGTTTGCACAATTAAATTTCTGTATGGTGGATGAAGGAAAACAAAACTGAAATAAAAATAAATATAAAAATATTTGCTCCAAAGGTCGTCGTTGTCGTTTTTGTCGTAGCTGTCTTTTGTTTGCCTAGGCATTTGCAATTAGTTGCAACAAATTGACGGCAATGATTTTCACAATTGTTGTCTTGCATGCCTTTTGTTTTGTCAGTAAACACGATTGCAACTTATATAACAATTACGAACATTAAATAATTTCTGTGGTCTTTGTTTGCAGTGCATAAACATATTTTTATTCCTCTTTCCCTCGAGCTTGCTATCTTTGTAAAGGAAAGTTCACATAAGTGACAAATAGAGAAATTAAATTGTACTCAACCTAATGAATTTAATAATTCAAAAATAAAATGTGAATTTAAATTAAATAGCATAAATTATAATAATAAAGTAAATGGTAATTAAAACGAGATCTTAATTTTGAAAAATCCAGCTTAAAATCATTATTTTTAAAATAGTCAGACTATACATTTATGAAGCATTATGAACTGCATCTAGCTAAGTTACCAATTTTGTTGCCTAAAGTTTTCAAACATGAACAGAAGTCAAAATTTGAACTGAGTCGCAATCATCTTGAAAACTATTTTGGCTCAGTGCAAAAGTACTTGAGCTAAGTCCCAATTACATAAAGTTCAGCATCAACGTGAAGTATTGTCCTAACCATTATTTGTAGTTTTAAATTTTTGA